GCATCTTCTTTCATCATATTCCAAAGCTTCATAATTTTAATCACCATCGTTTTCCTTTCTCCTGTACCCACTCCAAATCTGTATTATTTTTATTTCAGACGGGAAAAAGTGCCAACCACAACTCATTGGACGTCTCTATTTTTGATATCTCAGAGGCAATTACAATTTTCAACACTCAATTTTCATATTGTTTAGATTTTGCAATTAACCCTGAGTCCCATTAGAGTTATTTTCGGAGGTGGAGTCATTGATATTCTCCGGCTTTCAAGTCTCCGTTGCTCTGACAATCCCAGTTTTCACCTTTTATGGTACACAATATTGTTCTATATGCACACAAGCACAAACCCCAAGCATGGATGGCCCCAAAAGCGCAATTCTATCGTTCAGTGTGACTGCTAACAAGCCCAACACATTTGAGCTTTGACCCCAGTTGGAGGAAATGTGAAAAGCACAGCAGGTTGCTCGCTTGTGCACACATGCCTGTCAGAGAAAGTACAAAACCTGCGGAGAATTGGTCTTCACTGCAAGATCACTGAAAAAACAGTGAAAAATAGCTCTAATTTGACAAAATGTATATCATTTTATTTATTACTTTATTGTGGCATCTTCATTAGTTCACACTTTTTTCCCTTATTTATGCAAAAAAATAAAACAAAGCATAAATAAGAGAAAATAAATCCACAAGCAAACAACATAATTAAATAAATACAAAATATATATATAAAACATAAACAATAGATTATGAATATTTCCATGGCTATTTATCCTTTTCTGGAATGACATAAAAATTATTTGATGAAATAACAGAATGTGAAGGCTGTGGTATGTTGGGTTAATCTTAAAGAAACAATATGTAAATCTCTGCCCAAAAGAGGTACGTCACGGTCAATCTTCTGTCGTCCGCTCCCACTCTCCCTGACTCAGGTTGCCAGATGAATCCAGCTGGGACCATAATGGCGGAATAGACAAGAGTTTTTTTCTATTATTGTCTATTTTCACAAAGGCCCTGATAGAAATCCTCGTATTATTCCTTGTCATTAATGAGAATCATAACAAAACCTTTTTTAATTCTGTGGCCACATGATACTTTACCAGTGAGATTAGCTCGATGCGGTGAGTCCTGGCAACCCGGATCACAGACTTTCTGATTGGTAAAATGGTGGAGACATCGAAATGAAAACATAAAAATGAAAACAATAACAAGATTCAGGGGGTGTACATTGGAAATTCTAAAATTGCAGCTGAACTACTGTTTTCAGTTAAAGAAGTATTCAAAAAGAGCATGGATTATTAAAGCCTTTTGACAGATTAGGGCCCTTTAATGTTGACTTGACATAAAAATGTACGTATTGCTACTTTATTTATTTATTTGGTATGGACATAACAATAGCATTGGACAGACCAGATACATTGTTTTTAGTGTTATAGCAAAACTGCTAATTTGCAACCCCTGTACATAAAAGGCTAGGAGAGCCCCTACACTTGACCTAGACTTTAATTTGACTGCCTTAAAACTACATTTGCCGATGGGACAAGCAAAATGTTCTAGTTGTAAAAGATACAAGTCACGCCCCCATCTGTCACTAGTCTTCACAGCCTCTTGCTCCTCCCTGTGTGTGTGTGTGTGTGTGTGTGTGTTCGTGTGGACCTGGGTGGAGTCTGGAGCTGCTCACCTGCTCTCACTTCAACAATCAAGCAGCCTACATCCAGCCAGCTCTCCAGACAGACTCTGCCTAGATTGTTTCGTCTCAATCACGGTGATTTTTCAGTCGGCTACTTTTGATATACTGTTGATACTTACCCCTTTTTGTATACTCACCTTTTTGTCTCCTGTGTTCCTAGCTCCTGGGCTAGGACTAGTGGCAGCCCTTCCTAATCACCTCCGGAACAACGCAATAAACATTTAATTTTTGTATTTCTGTTTTAGTCTGTTTATTGGGTCCTATCGCCAAGCCGTAACAGAACAATCTGGCCAACATGGACCCAACAGACCCAAACGATTTGTTCGAAGTGGACACTGCATTGCAACCGGAACCCAACCCTTTATTCCAAGCTGTTTCCAGCCAAGGCCAACTACTTGGGAAGCACGAGACCCAGCTGAAAGAGATTTCTCTCAATCAACAAACTTTTGCTGCCCAGATGACTCAAATTGGAATCATGCTTTCAAACCTAACCACTGCTTTTTCCCAGTTCTCTGCTGCTGCCTCTGCTGCTCCACCATTGCTGTCTCCGGGTGCCCAGTCTCAAGTCGCTCCACCACCTACTGCTCTTCATCCAGCTCAACGTGAACCTCACATACCCACTCCGGAGCGTTATGCGGGGGATCTTGGTGCATGTGGTCGGTTCCTCCTCCAGTGTTCTCTGGTTTTCGATCAGCAGCCCCAAACTTATGCATCAGATAAGTCTCGCATTGCCTTTGTTATAAGTGTATTAACTGGAAAAGCATCTCAGTGGGTTACAGCAGCATGGGAGAGCAACTCAGACATTTTTCGCTCCTATTTAGTTTTTTCTAATGAAATGCGTAAGCTATTTGACCACCCAGTGAAGGGCAAAGAATCAGCTAAGAGAATGCTAGCTCTTAACCAGGGAACCTCCTCCGTTGCCCAATATGCCATAGACTTCCGTATCCTTGCTAATGAGAGTGGTTGGGATGACACCGCCCTACAAAGTGCATTTTTCAGAGGGTTGGCAGACAGCGTGAAGGATGAGCTTGCTGCCAGAGATGAAACTAACAGCCTTGATGAACTAATCTCTTTGGCCACACGTCTAGATAATAGACTCAGAGAAAGACACAGGGAGAGAAGGTCACGCCCGCCATCATCTGGTGGTCTTTATGCGCCCGCATCATCTCCTACCCCCTCCCCTGCACCTTGTTTTTCTTCTAGGCCTTCTCGAAACTCTAGATCCTCTGATGCTGAGGAGCCTATGCAGCTAGGCCGAACCCGGCTGTCTCAAACAGAACGCCACCGCCGTCAGATGTCTGGTCTCTGCCTCTACTGTGGACAAGAGGGACATAACGTCACTTCATGCCCACGACTGCCAAAAGAGTAGGCTCACCTGTGACTGGAGAGATCCTAGTGAGCCAAACTGTCTCTCCGCAGCCGTCTTCTGACCGGCTTCTTCTCCAGGCCTCCATGTTTTGGTCCCGTGAGTCTCTTTCACTCCACTGTTTTGTCGATTCAGGCGCAGACGATAATTTTATTGACTCTACGATTGTACTGGAAGCCAACATACCAACTGAGCCACTTGAGTGCCCCAGGGAGGTTAATGCATTAAATGGAAGTCACCTAGCCAAGATTACTCACATTACTGTACCAGTCATCCTCATTCTCTCGGGTAATCACCAGGAAGAGATCCGTTTGTTGGTTATTTCTTCTCCTTTAGCTCCTGTAGTTTTGGGACTTCCGTGGCTAAAACTTCACAATCCCCAAATAGACTGGCCGTCCAATAAAATTAACAGTTGGAGTGTTCACTGTCACTCTAATTGTCTTAAGTCGGCCATACCTGTTTGCGAGGGCTTAAAGGGCACTCCTCCTAGCCTTACTGACCTGACCGCTGTTCCCTCCGTGTACCATGATTTGTCACAAGTATTCAGTAAAGAAAGGGCACTGTCTCTCCCTCCCCACCGCCCTTATGATTGTGCTATTGATTCACTTCCGGGTGCCCCTTTGCCTACTAGCCGCTTGTACAAACTTTCTCGTCCTGAGAGGGAGACTATGGAACAGTATATTAAAGACTCTCTGACTTCCGGGTGGATCCGTCCCTCCTCTTCCCCTGTTGGCGCTGGTTTTTTCTTCGTGGAAAAGAAGGATAAGACGTTAAGGCCCTGCATTGACTATCGAGGGTTAAATGATATCACCATAAAGAATAAATATCCTCTGCCACTTATTGATTCTGCTTTCGAGCCTCTACATCAAGCCACAGTTTTCACAAAGTTAGACCTCCGTAATGCTTACCATTTAGTTCGCGTCCGCCAAGGAGACGAGTGGAAGACAGCATTTAACACACCCTTGGGGCATTTTGAGTATCTGGTGATGCCGTTCGGTCTAACTAATGCTCCAGCGGTCTTCCAAGCACTGGTGAATGATGTGCTCCGGGACATGCTCAATCGTTTTGTATTCGTTTACCTGGACGATATTTTGATATTTTCCAGGAATGCTAAGGAACATGTAGAACATGTCAGGTTGGTCCTTCAAAGACTGCTTGAAAACAAACTCTTTGTGAAGGCGGAGAAATGTGAATTCCACGCTGCCTCAGTAAACTTTCTTGGGTTTGTCATTGAGCAGGGACACCTAAAACCGGATCCGGCTAAAGTAAGAGCTGTGGCTGAGTGGCCAGACCTGAGACACGAAAGCAACTCCAACGTTTTTTGGGATTTGCCAATTTCTACAGGAGATTCATCAAGGATTACAGTAGAAAAGCAGCCCCACTAACCCTGTTGACCTCCACATTGTTGCCCTTCCAGTGGTCCGGTGATGCTGACGCCTCCTTCTCCAAACTAAAAGAACTTTTTGTTACAGCCCCAGTTCTATCTCACCCAGATCCTTCCAGACAGTTCATTGTTGAAGTCGATGCCTCTGATTCCGGAGTGGGTGCTGTCCTTTCCCAGCGTTGTCCCAAAGATGAAAAGGTACATCCCTGTGCTTATTTCTCACGCAGGTTGACATCCGCTGAGGCCAATTATGATGTTGGTAACCGGGAACTACTGGCTGTTGTCTTGGCCCTGCAAGAATGGCGCCACTGGTTGGAAGGAGCTGAGCATCCGTTCATCGTGTGGACTGACCACAAGAATCTTTCCTACCTCCATTCAGCCAAAAGACTGAACTCCCGCCAGGCAAGATGGGCGCTGTTTTTGGGGAGGTTTAATTTTGTCTTGACCTTTCGTCCAGGGTCCCGTAATATAAAACCTGATGCTCTGTCCCGTCAGTCCATTCAGGGGGAGCTGGATTCTCAACCGGGTCCCGTCCTTCCTCCCTCTTGTCTCAATATTAGTGCTGACAATGAAGCTAAGTCCTGTGCTTCGGCCTTGCTCCTTGGTGCTGTGGGGTGGGAAATTGAGAGGGTAGTGAAGGAGGCCCAGCGCGCCAGTCCTGACCCTGGTGGTGGCCCTCCCAATCGCTTATTTGTACCAGATTCTGTTCGCTCCCAGGTGCTCCAGTGGGGGCACTCATCTAAATTAACCTGTCATCCTGAGAGTCATCGGACGCTGGCATTCCTCAGACAGAGATTTTGGTGGCCCTCTATGTCTCGTGACACGCGTGCATTTGTTTCTGCTTGTACCGTTTGTAACCGCAGCAAGTCCAGTCATCGGCCCTCTGCCGGTCTCCTCCGTCCACTACCTATCCCCAGCCGGCCTTGGTCACATATTGCGGTGGATTATGTCACTGGCCTCCCCACATCAGACGGTAATACCACTATTCTGACTATTGTGGATCGTTTTTCTAAGGCTGTGCATTTTCTTCCCCTACCCAAATTACCTTCGTCGTTGGAAACTGCTAAGATACTGGTGCAGCATGTGTTTCGTCTTCATGGTATCCCCATGGACATAGTCTCTGACCGGGGACCTCAGTTTTCCTCCCAGGTCTGGAAGGCTTTTTGTCAATCCCTCGGGGCTTCGGTCAGCCTTTCCTCTGGTTATCACCCTCAATCCAACGGGCAGACGGAAAGGGCTAACCAGGACCTGGAATCTGCGTTGCGATGTGTGACTGCCCGAAATCCAACTACATGGAGCTCGTTTTTGCCCTGGGTGGAGTACGCCCATAACTCCTTGGTGACGTCTGCCACGGGTATGTCCCCGTTTATGGTCTCCTTGGGTTTTCAGCCCCCTCTTTTCCCTGACCAGGAGACTGAAGTTGCCGTGCCCTCGGTTCAGTTCCATCTACGTCGCTGCCGCAGGATCTGGAGGGTGACCAGGGCGGCTCTCCGACGCACAGGTATCCGTAATCAGGAGATTGCCAACCGCCACCGTGTGGCTTCGCCTTCTTACCAGCCGGGACAGAAGGTGTGGCTCTCCTCTAAGGATCTACCCCTTCAGGTCGAGTCCCGCAAGTTGGCACCTAAGTTTGTAGGCCCCTTCACCATTGATAAGATAATCAATCCCTCAGTTGTGCGTCTGAACTTGCCGAAGTCTATGAACATTCACCCCTCTTTCCATGTATCCCTGTTGAGGCCCGTAGTTTCTAGTCCTCTCTGCCCTCCGGCCGCTCCCCCTCCTCCCGCCCGTGTCATTGACGACCACCCCGCCTTCACTGTCCGGCGTGTCCTGGATGTCCGGCGTCGTGGGAGGGGCCACCAGTATCTTGTGGACTGGGAGGGGTATGGTCCAGAGGAGAGGTCCTGGGTGCCTCGGCATTTCATCCTGGATGCGGCTCTCCTCCGGGATTTTTATTCGTCGTTCCCTGACAAGCCTGGCCGGACGTCGGGTGACGTCTCCTAGGGGGGGGGGTACTGTCACGCCCCCATCTGTCACTAGTCTTCACAGCCTCTTGCTCCTCCCTGTGTGTGTGTGTGTGTGTGCGTGTGGACCTGGGTGGAGTCTGGAGCTGCTCACCTGCTCTCACTTCAACAATCAAGCAGCCTACATCCAGCCAGCTCTCCAGACAGACTCTGCCAGATTGTTTCGTCTCAATCACGGTGATTTTTCAGTCGGCTACTTTTGATATACTGTTGATACTTACCCCTTTTTGTATACTCACCTTTTTGTCTCCTGTGTTCCTAGCTCCTGGGCTAGGACTAGTGGCAGCCCTTCCTAATCACCTCCGGAACAACGCAATAAACATTTCATTTTTGTATTTCTGTTTTAGTCTGTTTATTGGGTCCTATCGCCAAGCCGTAACAGAAACCTTCCTTTGCTTTGACTAATCCCTGTACGACTGAGGGTTTACATAAACTTATCTTATGCTAAAGTGAGATTTTAAACTTGCTTCTTTGTTTAAAAAAAGCTAAAGTGGGAAGATTGTATACTTACTTCTTATTATTCAAAAGATATTTTATTTTAGTATAGAGTTATTGTTCCCTTATCTTCTGTGTGCTCCTCATTCCTACTATTCTGTAACTCATGATCTATCTCTCTATCTCTCTATCTCTCTATCTCTCTATCTCTCTATCTCTCTATCTCTCTATCTCTCTCTCTCTATACGATCCACCGAAGCTGCTCTCTATCTCAGCCGTGTCTAGAAACTTCTCCCCTTGCAGAGGTTCACCGTCCGGGTCAGTGCTCTCCACAAGCACTGACTTTAACGGTAGCTGACAGAAGGAACCCGGGCGCCGCCTCGTTCCAGGGCAGTCCCACCGCTGCCGAGAGGTCAGGCTGTCTGCGATGGCCCCATGACTGAGCGGCTGTAACGATCAGAGTCTAATGATGGCCCAAGCGATCAATCACGGCATCCATATTTGGTAGAGTGCTAGAGATGTAGTATTGTTGACAAATGACTTAAAAAAGATGTTGTGGTGATGGAGAAAACAACATAAAATATAACCAGACAGGGATTTTCAATTTTTTAAATTTTTCCATTTGAGTTTTGTACCATGAAAAAGCTTATTGGAATATTCCTAACACAAATAAAGTAAACAAGATCATTTACCAAAAATAAAGTAAACAAGATACAATGTTGTCAACATGTGCTATATGTTTTGCGCTAGAAATTGTCCATCGACGACTTGTGCTCGCTTGTGTTCAATAACAACGTAGCACTTTCAACAAAAAAGTTTACCCCGCTCACTGATTTGCTCGGTCCTTTGCCGATATTGTTTTAGGCTTATGCGAAGGATTTCTGTAGTGTCCGTGGCAAGGACTTAACCTCTGGGAACACCTGATGCCACAGTGGGGCGGCTGCGGCTGTAAAGTGCCAAACTGCTGTTGTGTCCTTAGGCAAGACACTTCCTATTGCCTAGAATGAGTCTGGTGTGTGTGTGTGAATGGTTGGTGGTGGTCGGAGGGGCCGATGGCACATACTGGTTGCCTCGCTTCTGTCAGTGTGCCCCAGGGCAGCTGTGGCTACAGTAGTAGTCACTGTGTATGGAGTGAATGAATAATGACATGTAAAGCGTCTTTTAGTGTCCAAAAAAGCGCTAAATAAAACTAATGCATTATTATTATGTGTTATTATTATTATTCCGTCACACATGTTGTTGCTGTATGCATTCTCCCGGGACAATCTGAAACCGGTGGAAAGTTACAGAGTTAAGATGGAGTAGCAAGGTCGCACTGAATTTGGGGAGTTTGCTTGATTTTGCGTTAATAGTTGCGACGATGACATTGCAAAATTCTGGAAGGACTGATTTTACCATCAACCATTAGGTCTAGAATCACAGCTCAACCATTTGTTAAAGGCTTGGATTTAAAAAAACTAGAATAGAAAATTGACTTGTTTGAGCGTCCATGTTACAGTATCCATCCCTTATCAAAAACAAATCTGAATTTCTTTTTAGAGCTATCCACGCTAATACTAGGAACTTACACTTCAACCTAACACATGTCATTTGAACGCTGCTCAAGAACGAAAATTCAATTCGGCAACTCCAGATGGCTCAATGGTCCCACAGATTTTATCACTGTGACACGTGTCGGATTGTAATTGGATAAAAGATTAAAGACAAACTGATATTTGGGTATTGTCTAATATCACACTGATATTTGTTTTATTTACATACACATACTTACATACACATATTGAAGCCTAAAACCATTTTTAGTGTGCTCATAAATCGATCAATTTACAAGCCCAAAAGCTGCAGAAATGTAAAAATTATATGTACAGTGTTACATGTAGCTGTAGAAGAACCTTATAAGGAACAACATATTTGGTCCTGTATTTCACATATCACAGCAGTCAAGATTGATCTGGCTTCATGAATGAGCAAAACATTTCTGATGTTGCAGCTGCGTGTGTGTTTGTGTATGTACGTGTGTGCGTGCGTGTGTCTGTGCGTGTGTGTCTGTGTGTGTGTGTCATGTGCAGAACATATGTAGCCGATGTAGAGTCTCAGGAAACACCATCATCACAGACGTCTTCATCACAGACGTCTTCATCACAGACGTCTTCTTCACAGACGTCTTCACCACAGACGTCTTCTTCACAGACGTCTTCATCACAGACGTCTTCATCACAGACGCTGAACCTTTTGCTGAAGACGAGCACGATCTAACAGGACTTTGATGTGTTTTAACAACACAAGTTTATTAGTTTAGCATAGTTCAAACACAGGAAACTCAAAGTGCTGAACCAATCAGAGGAGAACATAAACTCATAAATCATCACAGTACTTTAAAAATCCTTTAGTCGATCCATTTTCTTCCCCTTAATCCCTTTCAGTCAGAGCTGCAGCCAGTCACAGAGAACCAGCCCAAAATCCTTCAGTTGTTGCAGAAACAGAACTGTTTTTAACCCGGATTTAAATATTGTCAGAGAAGAAGCCTGTCTCAGATTTTCAGGAAAACTGTTCCAGATTTTAGCATAAATGTGATCATAGTTGGTTCAGTTTTTACCAAGGGGAAGACGAAAAACTCTGTCTTCTTTCGTCAGGACTCTGAGGAGCACAGGGACTGGCCTCCTGCTGGGACTCTGAGGAGCACAGGGACTGGCCTCCTGCTGGGACTCTGAGGAGCACAGGGACTGGCCTCCTGCTGGGACTGAGACTGAGACTGCTCTCGTCAAGGTTACAAATGATATCAGGCTGAACACTGACGCAGGCAAAGTCTCAATCTTAATCCTGTTAGATCTAAGTGCTGCCTTTGTCGACCATGAGATCCTCTTACAGAGACTAGAGGACTGGGTTGGCGTCGCTGGCACCGCCCTAAGTTGGTTTAGGTCTTACCTTGAAGACAGGAAGTACTTTGTGGAGATTGGAAACTGTGTCTCAGATCATATGGCCCTGACCTGTGGAGTACCACAGGGGTCGATCCTGGGACCTCTTCTGTTCAATCTCTACATGCTGCCGTTAGGTCAGTTAATACCCAGAAACAAAGTGTCCTATCATAACTATGCAGACGACACTCAGATCTATGTCTCACTGACTGCAGGAGAACATGGACCAGTGGACTCACTCCTTCACTGTATCCAACAGATCAGTGAGAGGATGCAAAACAACTTCCTTCAGCTAAACGCAGACAAAACTGAAATGATTGTCTTTGGTCCCCAGAAACAAAGAGAGAGCGTCATCTGTCATCTACAGTCTCTCTCCCTAAAACCTTCAAACAAGGTCAGAAATCTAGGGGTAATACTGGACTCAGACTTACATTTTAATAGCCACATCAAATCAGTAACATCAGCAGGTTTTTACCATCTAAAAAACATTGCCAGGATCAAAAACATAGTGTCTAAAGCAGACTTGGAGATTATTATCCATGCATTTGTCTCCAGTAGGTTAGACTACTGCAATGGCCTGCTCACAGGTCTGTCCAAACAGGCTGTAAAACAGCTGCAGTACATTCAAAATGCAGCAGCTCGAGTCCTGACTAGAACCAGGAAGTACGACCATATTAGTCCTGACTAGAACCAGGAAGTACGACCACATTAGTCCTGACTAGAACCAGGAAGTACGACCACATTAGTCCGGTCCTCAGGTCTCTGCACTGGCTTCCTGTGGCTCAGAGAATAGACTTTAAAACAGCTCTGCTTGTGTACAAGTCTCTCCATGGCCTCGCACCAAAATATATTAGTGACATGTTAGTCCCATATGAACCAGCCCGGACTCTGAGGAGCACAGGGACTGCACTCCTGTTAGTACCCAGAGTCAGAACTAAACATGGGGAGGCTGCTTTTCAGATTCATGCTGCTAAAATCTGGAACAATCTTCCTGAAGATGTGAGACAGGCCTCCTCTCTGACAATGTTTAAAACCAAGTTAAAAACGGTGCTGTTTAGTTGTGCATACAACTGAGGGATTTTATATTTTTATCTTTCTTTTTAATGTTCTGTGACCGACCTCCTGGTCCTTACAGCGAGTTCCTAACAGAATTCTCTGACTTCATTTCAAACCTAGTTTTGGAATGGGAAAACATAGTTATAGCTGGAGACTTCAATATACATGTGGACGACAGCACTGACAGCTTAAACAAAGCTTTCAGCGCCGTACTAGATGGTGTTGGTTTTACTCAGAATGTCGAGGAACCTACTCACATTCATAACCACACCTTGGACCTTGTCCTGACCTACGGCTGTGATGTCTCCAATGTTGACATCCAGCGTCAAAGCTCGTTGCTGTCTGACCATTTCTTGATCACGTTTGATCTCGCTTTGGAGGACTTTCCTGTCCCGCAAGATAAAACCATAATGAAAAGAACCTTAAATGATAAATCTATCACAAGGTTCAAAGAACTAATACAGCCTATGTTGAATACTGCTGCAGGTGAACCTGTTCACAGCAGCTGCAGTCCCTCAGTCATTGACCAAACGGTGGGCAACACTATGGAGTCTTTAAAATCTGCATTAAATGCAGCAGCTCCTTTAAAACAGAAAACTATTAGGATTAGATCATCGTCGCCCTGGTACAGTGTTCAACTCCACACTTTAAAACAGGACGTCAGAAAATTGGAGAGGCTATATCGCCACTCCCACTCGGAGCCTGTCCACAGGGAGTGGAAAGCAGGTCTCCGAAACTACAAGAAGGCCCTTCGCGGGGCTCGAACTCAATACTATTCAACTTTAATAGAAGCGAATAAAAACAACAGTAGATTTTTGTTTGGTACCGTCGCTAAACTCACAAACTGCCATAGCGCAATCGAGCCTAAAATTCCAAGCTCACTGAGCAGTGTCGACTTTCTCCACTTCTTTAATAATAAAATTACATCCATCCGTGACAAGCTGGAGGAGGTTGCTCCTGCTGTTAGTGGTGGACAGGTTGAAGCGGCATACGTGACTTCCCACTTAGACTCTTCAGTGGGCCTTAATAAATTCATGGCTGTGAGCCAAGCAGAGGTGATCTCTGTGGTCACATCCTCAAAAGCCTCAACTTGCATGTTAGACGCAGTCCCGACATGGCTCTTCAAAGACATACTTCCTTTGATAATTGAGCCTATCGTAAATATAATAAACGCATCCATACAATGTGGCTATGTCCCACAAGCTTTTAAAACCGCGGTAATCAAACCCCTTCTGAAGAAAACAAACCTGGACCCAGAAATACTTACAAACTACAGACCGATCTCAAACCTCACTTTTATATCTAAAATCCTGGAAAAACTTATAGCTGAGCAGCTCCGCTGCCACCTGCAGGAAAATGATATGTTTGAAGTCTTTCAATCAGGATTCAGAGCTCATCATAGCACTGAAACGGCACTAGTCAAAGTCACAAATGACTTAGTGCTGCATTTGACACAATAGACCACAGCATTCTACTGCAGAGGCTAGAATGTGATATAGGTCTTAGAGGAACAGCCCTTGGCTGGTTTAAATCCTATTTATCAGATCGATATCACTTCGTCAATGTGAATCAGGACTCGTCGCCTTATTCTGGAGTGGAATTCGGTGTGCCGCAGGGTTCGGTACTCGGACCGATTCTTTTTACTCTCTACATGCTGCCACTGGGAAACATTATTAAAAAGCATGGAATTAATTTCCACTGCTATGCAGATGACACACAGCTTTATCTGTCGATGAAGCCAAATCAGACAGATCAGCTAGAAAAGCTTAGTACCTGCATAAAGGACCTTAAAATGTGGATGACTCTTAACTTCCTACTTCTCAACCCGGAGAAGACAGAAGTGATCCTACTCGGTCCGAAGCGCCTGCGTGACTCCCTCACTAACCAGATGGTTACTCTCGATAATGTCAGTATAATACCCAGTAACACTGTGAGGAATCTTGGAGTCATTTTTGACCAAGAACTCTCCTTCAAGGCTTATATAAGCCAAGCAACTAAAACGGCGTACTTCCACTTACGGAACATCGCTAAAATTAGGAATTTCCTTCCTAAAAGTGACGCGGAAAAACTCATTCACGCGTTTGTCACCTCAAGGCTCGACTACTGTAACGCTTTACAGGCAGCGTGCCCTAAAGCCTCTTTGAAGAGCTTCCAGCTCGTTCAGAATACAGCAGCTAGCATCTTAACAGGTACCAAAAGGAGGGAGCACATAACTCCGGTGTTAAAATCACTCCACTGGCTCCCTGTGGAGTACAGAATAAAGTTTAAAATCCTACTCTTAACATATAAAGCCATAAATGGCTTGGCTCCTTCTTATCTCCAAGACACGTTAGTGTCGTATCAACCAGGTCGAGCGTTGCGCTCACAAAACGCCAGACGTCTGGTGGTCCCTAAGGTCTCAAAGGTCACTGTTGGTGGCAGAGCATTTAGCTACCAAGCTCCTTTACTGTGGAATCAGCTTCCCATTTATGTTAAGGAAGCAGATACGGTCTCCACATTCAAGGCCAGGCTTAAAGCACTTTACTTTAATTTAGCATATAATTAGGTAATATATAATATGTAGTGTATATATTATATATATATGCTGTATTATGTTGTATATTATGTTATATATTATTCAATAATGTATTGTGTTATGTTGTATATTATGTTATATATTATGCTGTATGTTATTCTTTATTCAAGGCTAGGTTTAAAACAGTCCTCTTTAGTTTAGCATATGGCTAGGAAGGTAAGACTCGGAGAAGGTTAAACTCCTCAGAGTGTTAGTCAAGCTGCATAGGGAGTCAGTTTGCTGGGAGAAGTATGGTAACTTGAGCACTATCCTCTCCTCCTTCCTACTTTATCTGTTAAGCATTTTTAGGATTCTGACTGTAGTTTGTTCATTGCTATTCACCCGTTGTCCCATTGTCTGTTTCATGGTACGATGACGGGATCTCTGAGCCTGGCCTCTTCCATCTACACCTGCGGACTGCCCCGCCCGACCCGCCTGGGAGTGCTTCAGTCCTGCACCGGACCTGTCCACGTTCAGCGTCCACTGGTCCACGTTCTGTAGCTAGCTTAGGTCCTAGATCATTAGCCTGTCCGTCCGGAGGAGCGGATCCCTTTCTCATATGGGTCTCCCTCCCTGTGGGTTTCCCTAGTTCTCCTCCAAGGTTTCTCACTTTTTCCCACTGAGTTTTTCCTTGTCGATGCAGGAGGGTCTTGTTGGACAGTTAGTGTCCAACAGAAAGGATTGATGATGATCAGGACACGTTAGCATTCTACAACATGTATGGACATTTTCTTCTGTGTGT